GTGACTCCCCACATTACAGAAAACATCAAAATATATTTTTTAAAGATTTATTTATTTATTTATACAAGCACTGGGTACAGTCAGAAGCATAGGAGGGTGAGAGAATTCACCAGAGCCAGAGCAGGGAGCAGAACAGGCAGATCAACAAAGTATCCTGCTGTGGGGAGCAGCAGGCATGGCACGGCAGGAGAGGTCTGTGCACCACGTGGGACCCTCTCCAGTGGCCGGGGATCGAACAGGTGCTGCAGAGGCTGCAGGTAGCTTCACAGCCCAGTGCTCAACCACTGCACCACGGGGGAGGCCCAGCATCAAATTGTTAAAGAGAAAACATAGCTTAAGGAGCCAGACACTGTGTTTTATATGCTACTCACACTAGAATTCAGATGGTGGCCTTGGATAATTTGGTTTATCCTCCTCAGGTTTCAGTCTTATTCAGGTTTGTTATCTCGGGAGGCCAACACCTACATACCATGATGGAAAAGAAATAATCTCAGGCAATAAAAGTCATGTACTCGTCCAAAAAAAATCCTTTGGTTTCATTTATCACATCTTACTAAGCATAACAAAATTGTCTGAATTTTCCTGCCGGGATTCCAGGCTGGGATGAGTGTGTGGGTGTGGTGGGGATTTAACATGCAACCCATATAAATCAGTAAAGAGATTTTACTGGTTGACTAGGCATAGGAGTGGATTGGAGACTCTCAGGGGAGAATTTGGGTCTTGTTGGAGCTCACTGAAGGAGTGCCTATGTGGCATAGTAATTCATGGAAAATTTCATCAGGGAAGAAGGGTGTATAGAGCTATCAGTTTTTTGAATAGGGCACTCACCAAATAGTCCTCGGGCATTAACCATGCACCAGGGTAGGAAAAGGTGAAGTTTATTTTCACTTATCACTTCACCCATGTCAAAGACTTGGCCATTCTCTGCCTAGGAGTGCCCTGATCAACATATGCCCTGATCAACAAGCTGTTTCTAGCCATCTGGAGCCTTCTGCTGTGATCTTTACTGTGTCTCCTCTGACATTCTCAAGACCATTTCAGTGAAATTGAAGTTTACATGTAAAATGAGACTACAAAGAGAAAATCACCAGCTGTCACAATTACTCCAGAAAAATCACTAAGGAGATCTCTATTTTAAGGATCTCAACCTCTAATATGGTCAACTTTTTCCACCAGGGGTAGGGAAGATGTGGTTTATTTGTTTATTTACATTTTATTTTTTTTTTAATTTTGCATGGGAATTTTCATCATTTGTTTTTTTAATTTTTTTTTAAACAATATTTGCTTCCCTCCCACCCCCTCATATTGAGTCCCCATAGAAATTCCTTCCCCAGGGCATCCATTTTACATTTTAAAGGGACAGATTTTAGGAAAAAGAAAAAGAGAGGCACTTGCATAGTCACAGGTGGGCAGGAGAGTTGTCAATGTGTTTATTTACAAGTCAGATAGTTGATTTGTAAGATTGCAACTCAATTCCTTTAAAGTATTAAATTCTGAGACATGGGCCTGTCCAGGGGGCACAGCGGTTGAGCGCTGGGCTGCGAAGCTGCCTGCAGCCTCTGCAGCGCCCGTTGGATCGCTGGCAGGCGAGGGTCCCACATGGCACGCAGACCTCTCCTGCTGTGCCCGCTGCTCCCCTCAGCAGTGTACTTCATCCGTCTGCCTGTTCTGCTCCCTGCTCTGACTCTGGTGAATTCTCTCACCCTCCCGTGCTTCTGACTGCACCCAGTGCTTGTATAAATAAATAAATCTTTAAAATAAATAAATAAATAAATAAATAAATAAATAAATAAATTCTGAGACATGTCTATAACAAATGAAATATCTATACCACAAGAGGGTGAAGCAATGGCAGATCCAAATTCTCAATAGCATATCCGCACTGAATTGTTATAATTTTTGGACTCAATGGCTAATATATGGCTTCAGCCTGGAAAAAGCAACAAGCAGAATGCACTCTTGCCTAGCTGAGAGCCAAGCATTATTAAAGTGTCTGTGCAAGTACCTTCCTATAATGAGGTGGCTTGGAGAGCATTCACAGACCCAGAGAAATCTCCCTCTTGATGGCAAACTAATAATATTCCTCCACTGTCTGAGCCTTAGTTAAGCTTAAGCAGGCAGCTACTTACAGGCACACAAACTCACTCCCAACCCGTGAACGAATCTATCAGGTCAGTTTACCCTGCCTCTCTCTCTTCAGAGCCAGAATGTGTTCAACATCATATATGACATTTAATCACACACCATGGTTATAAGGAGTATTTGATAACAGATTTTCAAGCGTTTAGAAAATATCTATTGTGTGCTTACTGTGGCATGATTTGGAAACAGGGATAAAATATTAATGAAACATATTATTTTCCTACAGTCTAGTGGAAAAGCAAGCAATAAACAGGAAATTAGAATCTGATCAGTGTGAGCAAAGGAGCTCACAGAACACACAGGGGTGACTTTTACCTTGTGTAGTTGCCTTCAGAAGAAGGCGGCAGCTCTTTCTAAATACCAGGAGCAGCATGTGTGGGTAGCATGTGGAGCAGAAGCTGTTCTTTGACAAGAGTGTTGACAATGAGCTGAATAGAAGATGCCCTACTTGCCCTGAATATCTACAGTATTTTCAGGAAGCAGAAAATGGAGGTTATGAGCCACAAAGAAGAATCTGCACCTTTGATGAGAAATTGCAGAGCCGGTGAGGGCTAAATCTTGGCTAAGAGAAAGACACAGAATTTACAATCAGCAGCAGCTTAGTCCCTGGCTAAAATGATATAAGCAGAGGTGTTGGTGTGAAATGTCAAATACTTTTGTAAGACTCGAAAGTCTTATGGAAACCAGAATATTAAATGTGTTTGCAAATCAGTGACATGAAATGAGCATGCATCTACATGCAAACTTTAAAACAAGGTCTTCAGAACATATATGAACACATTTGAACACCCACCACACTCATCACACCACCACATCTGCAAAAGGTCCTGCAGAGCTCTTTGTTCAGTAAGGTAACTGATCACTGACCATTTTGATCAGTCCTTTTGTGAGAGACAGCTACACTTTCCAGAAAAAAAAGCGGCACTGGAATTAATGGAAATTTTTGGCAACTGAAGAAATTTTAATTTCCTTAAACAGACTCTTTTTCGAAAATAGTTTTCAACTCATAATATAGTTCATGGCCAGCAAATTAGACAGAAGGCTGAGAATATAGATTCCCACGTTCCCCTTTTCTTATTAGGCTTTGTGTTAACTGTATCATTCTTTACATGTACCATAAGCCCGATTATCAATTTCAGTGCCATGTTATAGTTACCAAGAAGATGACTGTGTGCAGCGCTTCCTAATAAACACCGACTTTTTCTACCACCACCATCAGAAACAAAAAAGGACGAAAGAAATAATACAAAGAGAAAGACTCAAATGGCAGTAATTTCATTTCCTATCTTTCAGGTTATTGAATCATTTCAGAAGATGTGCCTCCATAAAAACCTTATCAAAATCACATGCCTGCCTGTGGCAAATATGCCGATCCATATTCAAACTTCCTATAGTCACATACTTCTTGAAAAATATTGAATGTGCAATTGTCCTCATCATTTCGCGAACTCATTTAAGGACAAAAGAATTGTCAGGTGCCCCAAATGTTTTTTTCTTCCCCCGAAAAACCCATGAGCAATGCTTGTTATATTTCTTTGCCCTACACACATTGTTTCACTTCAAAATAGTGAAAGTTAAGTACTTCCATCTTACTCTATATGAAATTTTATTCACTAGGAGGGAATAAAATATAACAAAGCAAACAGCCTATGATGTAGAATGAGAAAGATCTGCCATTGAGAATTGGTTCATTACTAGTGACCTTGGGAAAATTACTTATAATCTCAAATCTCAGCTTTAAGCCAGAGATAATACCAATTAACTAACTGGGTGGTTGTATTAATAAAGACATTACGTGTAGATTATGTAGAGTATATTGTCTGGCATCTTTTAGAGACTAAATAATCCCTGCCATCATGATTACTCATTACTAATACTGAAGTAACAATTTGGTAACTTCTATTTTCATGTTTAAAGTTGTTTTTGAATGTGCAATTCAAGGAACAGATATTAGGCTTGGACAAGGAAACCCTGTATTAGGTTCCTCACTGTTCTTGAAGTGCAAGGAAAATCATTAACCTCTCTGAATCAGAGTGACCTCCAATGGGAATTTTGAGTAATAAACCCTACCTTGTCAGACTAGTACAAAGATTGAATGAGGCCAGTCTTCTAGGCACATGGTAGACATTCATTGAATAGAAATCCCCGGTGTTAATATTGCAATAGCAATAGTGGAAAAGCAAGGAATGCATCACCTTGAGTACCTAGGAGTAAAATAATATCATCTTATACACAAATAGAAAATAAGATTGTGTTTCATGTCAATCCTGCTGTTACAGTGATGGTCTGGCATGTTCCATGAGAAGGATCCCACTCTTTACTAAGCTTCTGCATGCATGCAATGTTTATGAATTCAGAAACTGGAAGCCAGTATACTTAAATATCCCCAGATATCTCCACGAAGCCATAAATTATCATATGTATGAAAAGACATAAAATATGCTGCAGTTTCTACACATTTTAAAAACTGGAAATATAAAGCTATTGTCTCTATTATGTAAAGGTACTGGAGGAAAGAGAAAAGTGGTAAGGTTTAGGAAAGTAACAACATTAAAAAAAACAAAAAAGGAGGACCAGTCCTCTTACCTTCATTCTTCTCTGAATCTATTTGGAAAAGCATGGAAAGTATTAGAAACTCAATTTTCATTGCAGTTTGTCATTCAAACATTTTAAATCAAATTGCTTCCATTCATTCTAATCATTGTCAGTGACCACTGCAGATGGAGTACATTTTGGAGACCTTGGGATAACAAACATGAGTCTAAAATCTCCCTACACATCACAAATAATCACTTTGAACATGGAACATGTAAGAAACACCAGGAACACTACATTTAAGGCCATTTCTTCCCAAACCAAGGAAAAGACCTGAAAAAATTTGTTTCATCAACAGGTTTTATTTCCTAGAACTGAAATAACTCAGATCTAAACTTCCAAAGCTACAGTCAACAGTTTTTTCATCAGAGCCCAAGGGAGAAGAGCAGGAATAAAAGAGACAGTGCAGACCACTAGGAAGAGGTTAGGAGGGGGCACTTTTTTCCATGTCCTCTCAGTAGGTGACAACACTGAAGGGTCCAGGTTCCGGGCCAGGGGTTGCAGACAGAAGATGGCACTGTAGAGGAACACCAAAGCCCTCCTTCGGAAAAGAAAGTCATTAAATCCCAAATAGGAAAGAAACCCCTTGGTTCACTCTGAAATACAGTATAGGAGTGGGAAAACCATGAGCAAAGTGGAGGTAAAGGGCAGATGTTCATTTCAAAATAAATTTCCTTTTACTAAAAAGGTTTGCTAGGTTCTGTACCTTTTCTTCTATACCTGGGTGATGTATTTAACTACAGAGCGGTCTTGTGGCTGGTAGGAGTGGAAAAGGAGTAGTCAGGAGTCTCCCCAGAATATCCCTTGTGGCCTCAGAGATCTAAATGAAGCTCTAAATGACGACATGTGCTCCTTACTAGTCCCATCCAAGAAACTGGATAAAGTTAAGCCTTCAGATCTTACAAACATAAAAGCCCCCTTCGGCCGACCAGGTGTGGGTGAAATACTCCAACTCCCAGAATTTCCTGGGTCAGCAGAAGTAATTTTGGAAGGAAGCCCCTCCATTCCTGAATCTAGACAGTTGGGATGACAGGTACATGGGAGCACAGACAGGTGTTTTGTAAGATGTCACTCTCTTGCCTTCCTCACTACCACATTTTGAGGCTTGCCAGGTCCAGGACCCCAGAAGTCCCCCTTTGCATTATAGACCACCCCTTCTCCCAGCCCTGATTCCAAGGCAGAGTCCTAAACGCCTGTGGAAGGAGGGAAGGGGTATCAGGAGATGGAAACACAAGTTCCAGGCCTCACCAGAAGCCTTTGGGAAACAGTTCCAAGCAGCGAGGGACACGGTGGCTTCATCCCTACCCAGGGAACAGAGGCCCTGACTCAGATCACACAGGTGAGGCGCAGATAGCCTGTCCCAAGCAGGCCAACCCCTAATGGCCGGGCTTGGAGAGGGGGAGTCAGGGGTGAAGAACAGCGCGTGGGGTGGGGGCAGGTTCCATCTTGCAGGCCATGGCGAGTTTCCCCAGTAACAGCCAGGCAGCAGCAGGAACAGGGGTGGGGGGCTCTTCTTGAAACACTGGTGACTACAGGCTCGCGTGGTCTCCGACGCCCGGCGCCTGGGCCTCTTCCTCCGGCTTCCGCTCCTGCCCCCCCTTGGGGAGCCCCCAGGCCGGGCCTGGTTCAGACGAGGCGCTGTCGTTTTCCACCTCCACCAGGAGCGGCCCGTGCGCGGGGGCTGCGGCCTCACTGGCCTCTCCTTCAGGGTCGGCCTCCCTGGGACGTTTGGGGGTGGCCTCCTCCAGCAGCTCCCCGGCGCTCCTCTTCAGAGGCCTCTGGACCAGCTCATCGACGGGCTTCCCCTGCTGGTCACCGCCGTCCTCGTCCTGCGCGCTGCGCTTCATGGCCACGACGCCCTCGCCATCCTCCAGCGCGGGCCCCGGCCCGTCCACGCAGCTCTTCTCCTGGACCAGCTGGTAGTCAGACGCCTGGACCATGGGGTTGTTCTCGATCTCCCACAGCCCCTCGCTGAAGCCCCTCCTCTTGTTGGGCTTGCCGAACTTCTCCTTGGACTCCTCGTAGGGGAAGAGGTGTTTGGGGCCCAGGAAGGCCGTCTCGTGGGTCCCGAAAAAAAACACTTGGTAGCGATTGGGCTCGGCCATCTGCTCTATCCGGGCCGGCCAGTGGGCATAACCCTTTAACTTGGCGAACACCAGGTCCCCGCTCTTATACTTGCGCCTGAAGAAACTCGCCATGGCGGGGGCTGTGGACCCGGCCTGGGCCTCCGCGGCGGGCCGAATGGGCGACACCCGAGAGTGCGCGCGCCCTGGGCGGCCGCTGAGCGCAGGTCTTCGCGCGCCACCTCGCCACGAGGGTGCCCCGCGTGCCCACCCGCGGGGCTCAACGCTCATGCGCCCTGGGGTGACTCCAGGGCGCGGAGGGCCTCTCGGGCTGAGACCCCCCCAGCCACTTTGGCGCTAGCGTTGACACCGTGGGTTCTAGAAGGAGAAAGAGGTCAGCCGGCCAGCCTGGCGACGGTTGCGCTGCAGTGCATGGTTGCTGCGTCCAGGGTAGCCTAGAAAGCAGGGCCTGAAAACACGTGGACACAAGCAGCTCTGATTTTGGTGAGGCTAGAAACATATGCATACTTGCAGGAGGCCTAGAGGGCCTCATCGGTGCACTGCAGAAAACCACAGTCCTGTGTCTGGAGCCATTGAGGAGATGACTGAGTCCAGGGGTTCAATCAAGCCTTTTCTGGTTTCCTTGGAGACAAACACCGGCGCCTGCAAGGGAGCTCAAGAACAGAGAGAGAGAGGTATGTTACATTGATCAGGTCAGCAATAGTGTTGGGTATCTCAGTGCACTTCTGTTGGTGATCAATACTGCCAGTACTTTTTAGGGTCACGGAATCTACAGAGCAACATGGTGATCATGTCAAACCAGCCACCTCAAAATGTGCTGCTGTGAGAGGTATGGCCAGGAGCAACTGTTGAGCCAGTGGATGCCTACAGAGTGGAGAGTAGAAGGTGGAACTTTCCAGATGCCACCTCTCTGAGCAGGGGCTGATGGGGAAAAGTAGCAGAGCTGGGGCTTTTGGCAGTTAAAGAGTTGTTGGGGCTTTTGGCAGTTAGCCTTCCTGGGGCTTGACTGTTAGGCTGAGGGTGATGAGGGGTGTCTGTACAGAAGCCTCCAGCCTGAGGTGAGCTGCGTCAACTCGGATCTCAGTCTCTGCTCAGGGGAAGGACGCTATCTGAGGTAGGACACAGGCCATCGGGGCATTATGTGCCAGTCTATACATTCCCTCTCGCCCTCTCTCTTGTCCTCTCCTCCTGTTCTCACCCTGTTCCCTCTTCCCCTCTCTTACAGCTCTCCCTGTTCTGACTTCCTGTAAAATAAAACCTGTTCTTTCTTACCATGTATCTGCTGTGGGGTCATGTCCTGCATGTCTGCTTGTCTAAGCAGGCTGGTGAGCAACTGGGTCATTTTTGTTCCCTCGATTTGATCCATTTCACTATTTCACATGGGAAGGTTTACATTGGGTGCTGGACATGGACTTTACCTTCTCAATGATTCTTGCATATTGTAAAAGATAAGGCCATATATATGAAATATACATATATGTATGTATGTATATATGTATGTATGTACGTATTGGGTTGTTGGAAAAGTCATGATGCATTTTTTTTCTCTGTTTTTCAAAGAAAAAAATATATAATGACTTTTCTGACAACCCTACAGGGTTGTCAGAATATATGTCATATATATATATATATACACATATATATATATGTCATATATATGGATAATAGAGCAAATGTTGAATTTCTTCCTACAAGAGAGGAAAATGGGTTTATTTTGCTTAAAAATTTCGTGTAAATTGGGCCTCCCCGGTGGCGCAGTGGTTGAGCGCTGGGTTGCGAACCTGCCTGCAGCCTCTGCGGCGCCTGTTCGATCCCCGGCTGCTCCCGGGCCACCGGGGGAGGGTCCCGCATGGCGCGCAGACCTCTCCTGCCGCCCGCTGCTCCCCTCAGTGGTGTGCTTCGGTCCTTCTGCCTGCTCTGCTCCCTGCTCTGGCTCTGGTGAATTCTCTCACCCTCCCGCGCTTCTGACTGTACCCAGTGCTTGTATGCATGTATGTATCAATCAATCAATCAATAAATAAATAAATCTTAAAAAAAAAAGAATTTCGTGCAAATATATTTGTATCAAATATACTGTTGGCAACTAGAGCCTCCTAGGGGCTCCAGACCCAAAAAATAGCAGCTCAGTTGAATGACTATTTTAAGAAGATAATCTTTCCATATATGTCTTTTCTGAACTCATATTTATGGGGGTTTCAGGGTACCACTGTTACACAACTTTCTACATCTTTTTTGATGTAGAAAGCTGTGAACTAGCTGTGAACTTTCATTTTGTAACCTAATTTGGCTAAGCCAAGTTTGTCTTAATGGTAATCTTGACAAAAAGTCCTTTCAATATCAATTATACGTGCAACTTGGCAGATATTCTTGCTTAATGTAACCAACAATAACCAGTGGAGAATATTTTTCTCGTTCACAAATATCTACAGCTTTTCAGATAAGAAACATCAAGGACACCATGAACCATTCATTCACAAATTTACATTCTCCTAGGAAGGTGAATCTCATTCATTTTCCCCCTCTCAATTTCTTTCTTATTTTTTTTTAAGATTTATTTATTCATGCATATAAGAACCGGGGTACAGGCCAAATGTGTGGGAGGGTGAGAGGATTCACCAGAGACAGAGCAGGGAATAGAACAATCAGTTGACTGAAATACACTGCTGAGGGGAGCAGCGGGCGAGACAGGAGAGGTCTGCTGCACCATGTGGGTAGCTCCCCAGCTGCTGGGATCGAACCTATGCTGCAGAGGCTGTGTTTAGCTTCACAGTGCTGCGCTCAACCGCCTGCGCCACCAGGGAGACCCTCTACCTCTCAATTTCATAAGAAAATGCTGGAAAACTAGAAATGTGTAATGGTTGTAGAAGAAAATGGAAACCCAAAGGCAGCTATGGAGCCCATACTAGGAAGGACTGTAGCATTTCTGTAAGAAATGTGCCAAAGTTGCTCCAGGAGGAAAAAAGTCTGGATGGATAGCATGTTAGGAAGAGTACTCAGTTAGGCCTTCAGCCTAGTCTGAAGGTGTATCCCAACCTAAAAATAACTGCATGAGGGCAAACAAAAACGATGTAAGCCACATGTCAAAAATCACCACAGGGATGTTGAATCATAGAAGGTGAGCCAACATGAGCATAATATTTGGCCTAGAGAGCTGAGAGCACAAACAAAAGCTATCAACAACTGAGACAAAAGTTAAAGAGGAGAAGCAAAAAGATCTAGTAGAGAAAGACTTATATCTGCACAGGGTAATAGAGATTCTACTAGGCAAAGGCGTGTCATTCCCCTACCTCTACCCCTTGCTCAGCAATGCTCATATTTGAGGTGCTCAAAGACTGGCACAAAAGATATTTATCTTGGATGAATTGAAAATCTATTTTTTTAAAGATTTATTTATGTATGCATACAAGAACTGGGGTGCAGGCCAGAGGTGCAGGGGGTGAGAGGATTCACCAGAGACAGAGTGGGGAACAGAACAGGAGGAATGACTGAAATACACTGCTGAGCGGAGCAGCAGGTGAATCAGGAGAGGTCTGCTGCACCATGTGGGTAGCTCCCTGGCTGGGGATAGAACTCATGCTGCAGTGGCTGCAGATAGCTTCATAGGCTGTGTCTTAACCCCTTGCGCCACCAGGGAGGCCCTGAAAATCTAATTTAAGGTTTTAAAGCAGGTGAGACTTCATTGCAGAGCTATGCAAGCTAGTTTTAAAACCATGTTTCCTTTACATAAATACAAAGGAATTCCAGAAGTCAACGGGAGTGGGATTGTGAGGATGGGCTTAGAGGAGGTGGAGGCAACATAGATTGTGAGGATGGGCTTAGAGGAGGCGGAGGCAACATAGTAGGAGACATGATAGAAGTCTGCCAGCCCTCACTTTTTTTTATGAGTCTGGTAAGACTGGAAGTAGATGCAATCTCTCTGAGCCTCTGCTACATGATCTTAACATGTTTAAAATTATAATTAGAATTTCTCTCAGGATTACTATAAATAATAATGATTATGGGTATAAAAGTTTAGAAAATGTTTAGATAAAAGTTCAGATAAAGTCTATGCAATAACAAGTGTGAAGTACAATTTGATTCTATATGGGATTAAGTTATGATGATGGTGATGATGATGGTGATGATGATGATTAGGCTAAATAAGGGAAAAGGAGTGGAGTCATGAATAGAGACATCAATAACAGCACTGAAGAATGATGAAAAGTCTTCAGCCAGTTAAATTCCACCTTGCACATGGAAATGTATATTGCGTATGGAATTCCGTGTTACATATGAAATTACTTATTATGAATGGGATTACGTGTCTCACATAACATTTTCAGAACAAAACACTAAAGTTCTTGTTATTTGCAAATATTTTTTTCCAAAATGTTCTTCACCTTGTGTTTTCCCATAAACACAACATGATGGAAAACATGGAAGCGTATTCCTTCAAGGGGAAAATGGGAGGAAGTTTGAACAAAAGTAGAATGCATTTAAAGAGTTAAATAGAGATTAAAGGATATTTCAATCCTTTTATTTCTGCATTCCAGTGATCTTGGCTGCTTTTACTTTGAAATCAACTGGTTTTTAAAGTTCCCTCTTACTCCAAGTGAGAAGAGGAAGTTGTATTATGGCAGCTTGCTAGGGTTGGTTAGATTTGGCTATTCTATAAACAAAGTACTCATGAGCAACTACAATTACTGATTTTCCATGAATTCATATATTTCCAATGGATCAGAATATTTTAAATATCAAATACACCAAGAACACCTGTTTATAAAAAGCACCTAATTTCCACAGCAGCCTACCTCTCAAAACACCTGAGGGTGAGTCCAAATTGTATAACACTTCTGAGTTCCCTTCTCTGGAAAAATAGTAAGAGGGTTCAAACACTGCCTTTGGCAATAATTATGAAATATGGGCAATAAAACAATTTAATTGCTTAAGAAAAACGTTAGCTGTCTAGTTGATGTTTTCTTCACTGGTTTTAAATTCAATTAGTTTGGTGTAAACTATGACTTAAAATAAGTTTTAGTTGTTTTCCATCTGCTTTGTCTTCATGAAAAAATATTGACTGTGTTGGATTTATACAACAAAAGTATCTTACCTGATTGTTATATGAGGTCAAGACTTTTCCTTGAAAAATATTCTAGTAGGGGCTTCCTTGGATTCCTAGGGGTGAAGTCTCAGCACTATCACCCCTGGGGCCAGAGTTCAGTTCCCGGCCAGGGAGATAACCCACATGGCAGATCTCTCCTGTCTTGCCTGCTGCTCCCCTCAGCTGTGTATTTCGTCAGTCTGCCTGTTCTGTTCCCCACTCTGTCTCTGGTGAATCCTCTCACACCCTGCAACTCCAACCTATACCTCAGTTCTTCTACACAAAACAAATAAGTTAAAAATGCTCTAGTAGACATAAGTATACAGAAAATAAACCCTCCCACTTCATGATGGATTAAAAAAAAAAAAAATTCCCTGTGTTCTTTTCCAAAAGGTCACAGGAGGTGTGCTACTTCTGTATATTGTCACCTCTACATTTCATCAGTGCCCACTTAAGCTAACTTTTTAGAGCCCCAGGGACTTCTGAAATCCCAAGGGTTCTACTAGGACAGGGATAAACTCAGTACCAGAAGGGAAGTCTCAGGATTTAAGGGGCTTTCACAAGGATCCACATCAATAATTTGAATAGTGATTCATTCTGTATCCACCTTTGATGATGGAATTTAGGTGCAGAGATGAAGGCACAGATTTTCCAAATGGTGCATATGTGCTGGCAATTTGTGCCCTCTCAGCCATTCATAAATGTTATGGAGTAGGTGTATGAAGGTGCAAATAGATCAGAATAGCTTGTAAGGCTGCTGTCGTAGTGGCCACTGGAAAGAAAATTACCAACTATAAAAATTATGAAACTGGCTGGTTGTGAATAATTATGTTTCATTACACTGATTGGGTGAGGACTTATAGACTTTCAAACTTATTCTTCAGGAAAAAATAAAATGTTTCAATAAGATGGATAGTTTTCTAATTTGAATCATGCCCAGTAATGTTTATTCAAGCTCAGCCACATGAAAATGTATGAGTTATTTTTTTTATCTATATAATTAGCAAAGTTTAAACTAATAAGCTATTAATGCTGGTGAGTATTCAATAATTGGGAATTAGATGCCTCTAACATCATCTATTTACATAATAATTACATAATTAGATGGCCACACTCTGTAAAGTTTTTAAAGTATGATTTAGTGAGTTGGGAAATGCTTGCAACATGAAATTGAGTGAAAAGAGGAAAAAGTATATAGAACAGGTAAGTTCACTAGCCTATGTGAAACGTGGTTACTTAAATTCAAAATGTGGATGGTCATAGCACCCATTTGAGACAAAGACAGAAATAAACAGAACAATATGTGTGAAGTGTGGTGTCTGGCATCTATTAAGTATTAACTACTATTGGTCATTACTATTAAAATAGCCCAACAATAGCTCTATTTTATTAAAGTGCAAGTCTTTTTTTTTTTTTTTTTGGTATGATTTGATACATATATTTTCTTGTTACCATTGTTTTTCCCCCACAAATTTTTTCTGGTTCTAAATTTAGCTGGATACCTTGCTAAGGTATCTTTTTGTTATAATCCGTTTCTTATTTTTTAAAGGGGCTGTGTTCTTCTTGCAATAAAAATACATTCTTGAGAGTTCCCAAATCAACATTGTCATGTCTCTAAGCAAATGAGGAACTTGGCTTTACAATTTCAAGATGTTGTATTTCTTGCTGTAATACTAAGTGACATGTAAGTCACCCCAATGACTTAAGTATTCAGAAAAATTTGCTAAAGCGTTGAATGATGTAGCCTCAATCTTTGTCTCTACTGTCACCTCCAACCAACAGCTTCCTAGCTTTCAAAACAATTACCAAAATATGAGTTGTTGGGGATAACTAATGTATAGCATATCCATTTAAGAATATCATCAAATATGGTGGAGGACTCTGGGTGCTTTTGTGGTAGGTGGTGTGGTGTGGTAACATACATACAAAGAAGTACCTGTACCTCTGATGAGATATTGTATTGACTGCTACCTTAATCAAAAATACAATTTTCGGGCATCCCCTGGTGGCTCAGTGGTTGAGTGCTGGGTTGTGAAGCTGCCCACAGCCTCTGCAGCACCGGTTCTATCCCCAGCCGCCAGCGAGGGTCCCACATGGCATGAAGACCTCTCCTGCCACACCCGCTGCTCCCCCTAGCAGTGTATTTCGTCAGTCTGCCTGTTCTGTTCCCAGCCCTGGCTCTGGTGAAATCTCTCACCCTCCCGTGCTTCTGACTGTACCCAGTGCTTGTATAAATAAATAAATAAATCTTTAAAAAAGATTTATTTTCTCTCTCTTTACTTTCTCTCTCTTTGTTAAAAAGATTGACTGATTGATTTATACAAAGAAGAACTGATGTGTAGGCCAGAGGTGCTGGGGGTGAGAGGATTCACCAGAGATAGAGTGGGGAGCAGAACAGGTGGATCTACTGAAAATACACTGCTGAGGGGAGCAGCCAGCGAGACAGAGGAGGTCTGCTGTGCCATATGTGGGTTAGTGCCCTGGCTGGGGATTGAACTCAGGCCCAAGAGGTGATAGGGCTAAGGCTTAACCCCTAGGCCACCAGGGAGGCCCAAGAATACAATTTTCAAAGAAGGAAGTCACCAACAAGTATGTGATATGAAAAGGATGGAATTTTAAAATCAAGCCTTCTAATTAATTTTGAATTAGTGAAAATGGTATTGAATATAGACAATATAAAACTGAGATGGACAAAATAGTCTTATTCCAAGAGCAGCTTCAGTTATATGCTTTTGTCAGCTAGAATTCCAATTTCATTTATATGCATCTTCATAATAAAATGCCACATTAAAAATGAGTCAAATGTGCATCTGCCTTTGGTGATGGAGTTTGGGGAGAGGGAAATGAAGGTGCAGGTATTTTATCTTCACAGTGTTGAGTCAAGCTCTGTTTCTCACAAAGTATCCAAGTAGAATAATAATTATACTGATAATCTATGGTTGGCAGATATTTTTAAATAAAGTAACGTTAAGGACACATCATGTAATGTTGGTATACATGTGGTATCTCTCCAGTGTAATTATAATAGATAAAACATCAACTTTTTTACAAAAATGGCTAGCTTTTCTTTGTTTCCTAGAATATTTATAACTGTAAACCCTAAGAGAGTTTCTTTTTTTCTTTTTGTTTTCAAAGGACACACATTATGATACTTTAAACAGCTGCCACCATGCTTTGTATTCTGTTTTTGTAATAGCAAAATCTAAAAGCTTTTCACTGAGAAGATAAATACAAAATCTATAAATACAAAAACAGATAAAGAATAATGCTTTAATCAGTTATAATTGGAACTAATTCATTCAACTATTTGTCTACTAGTTTGAGTGGTTTTACACATTTTTTTTTTATAATTGAAAAGAATGAAAGAATGAAAACCTATAGCTCCTTTATATTGTAGAAGATTGATTTGGTTTTGTTCACTTTTCTGTTTTCTATTTGTTTTTTCAGGACTCCTTGGAGTTGACAGGGAGATTTGAGGCTGCCGAGGTAGGAAACACCAAAAATTGCAAACTGGAGTGTAAGGTGTCATTTAGGGCACCACTGCAGGTCACTCAGTGCCTGAGTGTTCCCTATGTGATCAAGGGAGAGCTAAGTGCTGTGGGAAAGACAACATGAGTGTAATGAGAGAAAATTTTAACCAGGTGGTGTGTGTATATATCAATTCTTTCGCATATTTTGGAAGATTATTATTTTTACTTTTTTAAGATTTATTTATTTATGCATACAAGTACTGGGGTACAGGCCAGAGGTGAGGGGGGTGAGAGGATTCACCAGAGACAGAGTGGGGAACAGAACAGGCAGGCTGACTGACATACACTACTGAGGGGAGCAGTGGGCTAGTCAGGAGAGGTCTGCTGAGCTATGTGGGTAGCTCCCTGGCTGGGGATCAAACTCGTGTTGCATCAGTTGTGGACAGCTCCATAGGTTTCATCTTAACCCCTTGCACCACCAGGGAGGCCCTGGAAGATTATTTTTGATCTGCTATGTGATCTGTCATAACTTATACTCTTTTTATAGATGCATGAGCAGTATGCGTGAGAAAACTTAGTAATTGTTTAGTTCAATATTTCCACATAATAGCTTTATCTATGATAAAATATGTAAGATTTTCATTTATTTTTCTAGATTTGTCAATTTCCTTTAAACTAGGTTTGTTTCTGCTTTATTAATGCTGGTTTTTTTCTTTACTCTATTAAATTTCATAATATTTTCTCACTTCATTTGTTGAATTTATTCACATATTTTATCACTAATTTTTTATACAGCTTTTCTTTTACTTTCAATAAAGGGAGTATGGCACAAAGTGATTGTCTTACTCGTGGATGAAGTAGTAGATAAGTTCTCTTAGCTCCACATAGCTAAAAATATATTTAGTGTAACCTCACTATTATATAGTACATTAGCTGGGAATATAATTAACATTTAAAATTTTATTCCCTCAAGAATATGAAAGCATGGTTGCAATGTCTTCTATCATTTATTTTAACTTAATTTAATTTTTTTAAAGATTTAATTATTTATGCATACAAGATCTGGGGTACAGGCCAGAGGTATGGGTGGTGAGAGGATTCATCAGAGACAGAGCAGGGAACAGAACAGGCAGGCAGACTGAAATACACTGCTGAGGGGAGCAGTGGGAGAGACTGGAGAGGTCTGCTGCACCATGGAGGTAGCTCCCTGGCCAGGGATAGAACTCGTGCTGCAGTGGCTATGAATAGCTTCATAGGTTGCAACTTAACCCCTTGTACAACCAGGGAGGCCGGTCTTCTAGTATTTATTAATGATACTGAGAAGCCTGCTATCAGTATAATGGTCATTTCTTTGCCGATATCATGTCTTTCTCTTTTCCACAGATCAAAGATTTCCTTTATTCTTGATATACTTCAGCTTCACTCAGACATGTATGGGTGTGAATTTATTTTTATGTTCTTAAATATAGCCTCTCAGACATTTCCTCAATTCTTTTCTGGAACACTTATGTAAGTACATAAAATTATCACAATATAGCCCATGTCTCTTATATATATGATCTCAATCTCTCTCTAATGTGCTAAATTCTGCAGAATTTTTCAAAACTGTATTTGAATTCATGCATTTTTTTGTATCTGATTCAAAGGCTATCCCAATTATTATCATTTCAATAATGATAGGTTTTTATTTTTATTAAACTTTTTTTAATTTTCTTACATTGTTGTTCATTTTTCTACAATATTTCCTTTCTCCCCTCAGGTGTAGTCCTCAAAAATCTCCCACCACCCCATCACCCATGAACCATCACCATACTCCTTTGTTCTCTTCCCACCCCGTCTTGACCCCTCTCCCCACCTTTCCCTGCTGTATGCCTCAGATCTATAGTTAGCCTGCAAATTTTATCTTTTTTCTGACCCTTTGATTTCCCTATATTCATCCTATAAATGAAGCCATCTGATATTTTTCCTTTTCCTTTTGACATTTCACTGAGCATGATCCCTTCCAGCTCCATCTATGTTGTTGCAAATGGCATGAGTTTATCTTTTTTTATTACTGAGTATTATGTCATTGTGTGTGTATGTGTGCATGCGCACGTATATACACTACATCTTCTTGATCCATTCATCTGTTTGGGGGCATTTAGATTGTTTCTATATCTTAGCTGTTGTAAATAGTTCTGCAATAAACATAGGAGTGCAGGTTCCTTTTGACTTAAAGTATCTGTGCCCTTTGGGTAGATTCCATTCAATAAGGATAAGTTTTACTTAAAAATTTCTAATTTTAGGGCCTCCCTGGTGGCGCAGCGGTTGAGCGCTGGGTTGCGAAGCTGCCCGCAGCCTCTGCTGCGCCGGTTCGATCCCCGGCTGCTCCCCGGCCACCAGAGGAGGGTCCCCCATGGCGCAACAGACCTCTCCTGCCGCCCGCTGCTCCCCTCAGCAGTGTACTTCGGTCCTTCTGCCTGCTCTGCTCCCCGCTCTGGCTCTGGTGAATTCTCTCACCCTCCCGCGCTTCTGACTGTACCCAGTGCTTGTATAAATAAATAATTAAAAAAATTTAAAAAAAAAAAAATTCTAATTTTAAAACTACCTTCATTATTCATATCTCTTTTGATTCCCTATTTTCTCATTCTTTTAAAGGATTTGCCCATTTCTTGATCCCTTGAGAGATACTAAATATATCTGTTTTAATGCCACTATTGATATTTTTCCCTATTTTTATTTCATCTGCTATGATGTCACTTCCTGCTCTCAACTACCGGCTTGGTGCAGAGGCAGGAAGGCACAGTGCAGGTTTTCTTATTTATTTGTTTTTTATATCACTGTTCATTTTTAAAAATGTTTGCTTCCCCACCCCCTCAGGTGTAGTCCCCATAGAATTTCCTTCACCAATGCACCTGAGCACCATCACCTCAGTCCCCTGGGCTCCTCCCTCCCTCCCTCCCTCTGATCCCTTTCCCTCCTCCTGCCCTGCAGGATGTCTCTGGTTTATAATTGTCTGTTTTTGCTTTGTTGTGTTTTGTACTGTTATTTTTTTACACTGATGCCTTATTTGGTTCCCCTATATTCCTCGTATAACTGAAACCATTGATACTTTTCTTTTTCCTTTTGGATTATTTCACTGAGCATAATTCCTTCTAGCTCCATCCATGTTGCTGTGAACAGCATGAGTTTATCTTTTTTTGATTGCTGAATAATATTCCATGGTGTATATGTACCACATCTTCTTGATCCAGTTCATCTGTTTTTGGGCATTTGGGTTGTTTCCAAGCTTTACCTCTTGTAAATAGGTAAATAAACATAGGTGTACAGGTGTTCTTTTGAATCAGTGTTTTATTGTCCTTTGGGTAGATCCCTAGGAGTGGAATTGCTGGGTTATATGGTAACTCCATTTTTAGTAGACTGAGGAACCTTCAGACAGCTTTCCATAGTGGTTGGACCAGTTTGCACTTCCACCAGCAATGTAGGAGAGTTCCTTTTTCAATCACAGAGCAGCTTTTCTATGATCCGACCAGACGGGTAAAGGAGAACCCTGGAATCTTCAGTGGCTTTTCAGGTGTTTATTGAGGTTTATTTTACCACAGGTTTATTTTACCACATACATGGCAGGTGGGGGTCTCTGCTGGTTCTTCTTCTCATTCTTTTTCTTATTCTCTTGGTTCAGTTCCTTCTTGTGGCATACCCGTGACACCACACTAAGCCCCATTTCTGCCCATCTGTGCCCACCTGTGCATGCCCACACCCTACTCCAGATGCCTGTCATCAGGCAAGCATTCAGGACCTCAGAGATCCATCATTAATGTTAATGGTGTTGTGGCCTCCCAAGTGGCACAGTGTGTTGAGCACAGAGCTGTGAAGCTGTCCATAGCCTCTGCGGTGCTGGTTCAACTCCCGGCTCAGCCAGGGAGATCCTCTCATGGCACAGCAGACCTCTCCTGCCTTGCCCGCTACTCCCCTCAGCAGTGTATTTCATCAGTCTGCCTGTTGTGTTCCCCATTCTGTCTCTGGTGGACTCTCTCACCCTCCCGTGCCTTTGGACTGTACCCCAGGGCTTGTATAAATAAATAAATCTTTTTTAAAAAATTAAGAAAAAATACTAATGGCTAATGGTGTGAGGGCAGAAAAGCCTGATAATCACTTACCCTGCACTTGGTCTGAGGATGCCTCACCCAGGGCTGCCTGCACATCAGGTACCTGTAAGAGGTAATGTTGTAAATGTTGGATCTCCCAGAATGAGTAAATCAGGATGTTTTTTTTTTTTTTTTTTTTTTAAAGATTTATTTATTTATTTATTCATTTATTTATTTATACAAGCACTGGGTACAGTCAGAAGCGCGGGAGGGTGAGAGAATTCACCAGAGCCAGAGCAGGGAGCAGAGCAGGCAGAAGGACCGAAGCACACTGCTGAGGGGAGCAGCGGGCGGCAGGAGAGGTCTGCGCGCCATGTGGGACCCTCCTCCGGTGGCCGGGGAGCAGCTGGGGATTGAACCGGCGCTGCAGAGGCTGCGGGCAGCTTCGCAACCCAGCGCTCAACCGCTGCGCCACCAGGGAGGCCCAAGGATGTTTTTTTTTTAATTGCCATTTTCATGTCAGGAAGTTCCACTCTGGCCCAGCCATGAGGCCAGTGCTAGTGCCCCACTGTTCATGAGTGAACTTATTCCCTACAGCCCCCAAATCCAGAATCCTTGGTCCTCTGCTTGCTTACAATCTGATCCCAAAGGCTCTGCAATGTTAGTGTGTTAGTTTCTCTTAATAGTTTGCATTTCTTCCATTTCTGGTCCATCTTTCTAAGCTATTTGCATCTTTTATGTTTTATCTGCTATTTACCATATGTTGGATCAAAAAGGGAAGGTCTCAGAGCATGAATTTATAACATCTTAATTAGGTATCAGGAAGTTATAAAATGTTATATGTATACTTCTCCCTTTACCAGTTTATGAGTTAATTAAGGAGAAAAGATTGTATGCATGAAATATGTAGCAAATACAAAACAGATTCTATTAAAACCAAATGGGCACCCATTTATACAAAAATCATCACAAAACACTTTTGGGATATGGCAGGAGTTGAGGTTTTTCTTAAGGACGAGTAATATTTGAAAGGAAAAATAGGTATATGAATGTTAATTTCTTTTCAAATTCACTTTATTATGTGCCTTGAAAGTGTTTTTTGTGAACCTGCCAGTAGTGGTTTTGAGAACTATAAAGTGTAGCACTCTGCATAAGCTCCCCATGTACATAATCAAGTGCAAATCAAGAGAAAGCAATTTTTTTTCAGAGCTCCTAGAAGTTCCATGCAAAGACTCGTACTAGGAGTCATTCAATTTTGGAGAAGCTAATGCAAGAGGTGAAAATGTGTGTGTGTATCTGTCTCTGTCCCCTAAGAAATATTAAGACTGCAACTACTGGCTTATTGCATTTAAAGGCATATTCTTCCCGGAAAGTATTAGCAACAAGTAATTGACTCATTTCCCCACAGAAATCCAGTATCTAAACCAAAACGTATCTTATTCCCCTCTGTGCCTGAGTTTTCAGTTTTAAGCTACTTCATAAACTTTTCATATCCTCAGAAAAGTCTAGAAATAATTGCACCACCTAATGCTCTAATATAACTCTGCTGCCTGCTCTGCAGGGCACTTCTAGAAGTACATCACAAATGCCAAGAGTCAGTAAATGAACAGAAAGAAGCAAGAGGCAAGACATTCACAACTCTAGTTTACTTAATGCCTCTGTTTATGTCTCCCTGATTCACGCTGCAGCTAAGACTCTCCAGCCATTTTACAGAAATAATGGACATAATTGGGCCTGTGAGTTGTTAGGGCTAATGATTAGCCTCACTCAGACTAATAAAATTCCCAGTAAGGAAAAAATGTGGCTCTTCTGTTGCATGGAGAAGAAGAACTGCAGGCCTCGGTCATAAGTTTTGGCAGAATCTACAAATAGTTGATTGAAAATGGGTGATGGAAATCAGGAGACAGGAAGATTAACCTACGAGATGTGTCTGTTTTAAGTCAACTTGACTTCCATTTATTGCAACACTGACATTGGAATAAACCTGTTAAAATATATTTTCAAAATGCAACCAAGTGGTAAAACATGATACCTCTCTTTAAAGCTTTTTTAATTGAATGCACCTGGTGCTGTTCTCGACCAATTTATGTTAATGCCACACACAGGCAAGCAGGACCTAATTACCAATTAAGCAATAAAGCTGTTTATATGAGCAATGTTCTCTGGGTCATGTCCATGGGATGGAGATATATATCTCTTCATATCATGTATATATATGAACTGCAACTATTTGGTTATTGAATTTAAAGGCATAGTTTTCCAGGAAAGTGTCAGCAATAGCTAATTGGATCAATATTGACTCATTTCCCACAGAAATCGAGTATCCAAATTGTGTGTGCATACACACACACGTGTGTGTGTCTTTATATATGAATGTATATGTATATATGTGCATAAATGTATGTGTATAAATATATGTATATACCACACACACTATAGTTCTTAACCTTTCTTTGTCAACTTGCATTATTGAATGCTAACTTTATAGTGCTCTCATTTGTAGAGTGATTTGATCTTTATAAATGAGAGGCATTCCCTAATTATATAAAGTCCTGGGTCATTTTAAGTCAAAAACTAAGATTCTTTCAAATATATGAAAGGCTAATGGTTTTTAGATGGTGATTAACTGAGGCCTCATTCAAATGTGACTGAGATTACAGACTTTAGAGACAAAGTTCTGACCTGACCCTTGTAAACTCACCAAGTAAACAGTGTGTGCATAAGTGTGTATGTGTGTACAATTGAGGTATCATTATCAGTCTGTCCAGGGGTGGTCTTTTCTCCTCTTCATATACTCTTGCTCTTAACACCTATCTCCTTATCATACACACACACACACACACACACACACACAATGGAAATGCTATGTATGTACATTACCACTGTAAACTGTGCGATAGTAATGTGCCTTTGTGTATTTTCATTTGCATGAACATAACATGCTATCATGTAAAAAATGCATATAATGTAGTTGTTGTAAATCTATTTTCAATTGTCAATTATCAATTTCTATTGTCAGTCTATTTCTTCTATCTTACTTTGACTAAATACTATGTCTTCATGATGATCTATCCAAGTTGTTTTATATATAGACAGTTTGTGTTTCCAACCAATACATACTGTTGATAGATCAACTCTGCACCACTAACTCTATCCATGATTGTACTTATTAATTCCTCTAATGACAAACAGTTACCTCAATTGCCCCACTAACACACACACACACACACACACACACAAACACACACATATACACACACTATTCTCAATTCTATGTAGCTGCAATGTGAATATTTCTTTGGGATCAAAATCAACAAAAAACTATGAACCAGAGACACTTTTTGGGGGGTGGGGGGTGGGAGGGGAGGGATTGGGGTCAAAATGGGGGGGTTGCAATTGTATGGGGAAAAAAAACTACTTTGTTATTATAAGCAGGGAACAGTTTAACACAGGAATTAAGTGTTTAAAAACCACTGGGAACGCTAATACAATAAGCACAAGTCAAAATCCTCACTATTTCAGGTAACACAGGATTTTCCCTCCAGCGGTGATATGGATGGTTCCCACAAGAAGTTCATAGGTCGCTGTGAAATCTCAACCTGCCAAACCCAAGCACTTGCCGGCCATTACAGTAACATTTGTCTCCACACTTCCTGATCACATGCAAAGTGTCTCATGGCTGAATCTAGATCTGCAAGAAAGTGAAAGTAGATGCTAAGTTTCTAGTCCTTGCTACACAAGGAAGGTTAGGTAGGAAAAAGCATGTCTCTATTCTAACTGGGTTGATGACTCCAACTTAATCTTTCAGATCTTTTATTAGATATTATTTCTTGCCTTCTTTGGTAATTTATGAGAATTTTCTCTACTTCTGACTCATGTTTAATAGAGCATTGTACCCCACCCCCCATGCATGTGATTTATTCTTTTTCTCCATTGGAGATATTAATAATCTTTTCATTTTTTTTTCCTTCTCTGTGCATTGTGTTGATTTGAAGCATATTTCTTTTTCTGTTTATTTTTCTTGGAGTCGTTCCCTGATGTCTGCAGTGATGTGTGTCCATCCTTTTTTTAGAAGGACACTAAAATGATGTGTGGAAGGTCTCAAAATGGGAGTAAGTCTTGTTCTGTGAAAGTCCTTACTGTCTGGTGACTCTGATGACTGGCACATTTTAAATATAGTTCCATAAAATAACTTAAGTATTTTATTTTTATTGAGGAACCAATGATTTACAACTTTGATTGTGTTTGGTGGAACATTGCCCAAATGACAGAATCTGCTGTTCTCTTCTCTTGTAAAGGTCAGTTTTCCAGAAGGAAATCTCTCACCTGGGCTGATGGGGCTAGTGAAGGCACTAAGCTCAAGAAAGAAGATAAAAGTCAGCTTGTAGATATTGATTTTGTTCTCTTTTATCAACACCTGATAAGAGAGATCCTATAATTCCAAAATATAAACAATGGTGTATAGCAACATCACCTCAATAGAAAACTTGAAAAACAGAATGGCTCATGTTCTTATTCCTGCCTTTGCTTGGATCTGCTGTCCCCAAGTCACCAGTCTACCTGGATGCACTTGCCCATATAGTGAATGTCTAGTCCTCTGCTGGAATAAAAGAAGACTGTCACTAGCCTCATAAGTGAGGCAAATAATCTGGAAGTCCAAATGCTTTCATCTTTCCTCCTGGGTGTAGCTCCATCTGATTCTACCTTCAACAGTAAGAACTGCCTCTTATCCCTGTGCATGTCCCAGGATTTTACCACCTTAACTTGTCCCTCCTACTTTCTTAGCTCTTCACATCTCCTCCCCTTCCATTGGCTTAGCTAGTTCCTCTGTCCTGTACATCAGCTACCACATTCCTCTTTCCCCAAGTTTCTAAAATGCTTTCTTTTCTGATGTTTGCTCTCCAATTCTCTTTTTCCTTGGGAAATGGTGCTACCTTCATCACTTATATGTCATTTCCATGTTGATCCAGGACACAACAAGGAAAATGTTAATATCAACTCAGGTAAGTTGGTAGCTATTTCGTAAAAATGATAAATGGGATTCTTCTGAATGGAAATATGCATATTTTCAAACAATAAACATGAGATAAAATGTTTGATTTCCTTCTTCTGTTTAGTTATCTGTGCATCCATCCATATTATATTTTTTTGAGTTTAATCCCCTTTCAATAAAATAGAAGATCAATGTTAATTTCAATATCTGCAAGTGAAATACATTGAAATTTTCTTCAACATCTGAGAGCAGTCATTTTCACTATGTACAATATTTATGGAGAAATAAATGCAGCAGCAAATTTCTTAGTTATCCAGGTTATGCTCATTTAAATATCTTAAAAACAGTTATAAAGTGAATCAGGAGTCTATTTTGGATTAAGAGTCTGCTTTTGTCAAATATGCATGTGCTAAAATCTCATAAATACTGTGGGTTAATTTCAAGTTTACATCTAAAGAATTCTTATGGCATCCAAATATTCACACTTCCAAAAGTGAATTTCACATACTTTCCTTCTGAATTTGCCACTGCATGTATTATTTTGATTTGTGTTGTCAGGAAGTACCTAAACATTTTTCCTTCTTGATCAGTAGCTAACTTTCTTCAACAGATCCTGCATTAGTCACAGGCTGTAAAGAAGTAAGGATTGTAGACCGTGCCATGATACCTGCTCTCTAAGGTACTCTTGGTCTCAGCTTTCCTTCTTATAGTCTTATGACCTATTATGTAATTTCTCTGAGCATAACATCTTCTTATTATAAAATTGGGGAATAATAAAAATTCTTGCTCACATGCCTTTAAATGAGTGTGTGAAAATTAAATATAATAAAGTTTGCAAGGTATTTAACTCATGTTCAAAATGCAGTCAACACTCAGTAAACATTAGCAACTACTATAAAACACCATTACCTTTGCATCAAAATGGTGCACTGAACTGTGGAGAGCAAACTTATCATAAAATTTATTCATATATTTGACATTTATGGAGCACCTCCCAAGTGCCAGATGTTGTTCTAAGCACTGATGATATAAAATGCCTCCACCCACAGGGTTTGCTTACATTTTAGCAGGAAACACAATGAAATACATTATTATATGATACCATGTTATGTAACATAAAAGATAGTGCAATCATTATCAAAGGACAATAAAGTAGGATCAAGGAAAACAGAATGACTTGGGATGGTGTATGTTCTTTTATGTAGGGCAGTAAGACGGCTTCTTTCATGAGACATTAAGTAGATTGAAGTGGACTGTACAGAGATCTGAACTTTCTAGACAGTAGGACCTGAACATGCAAAATTTTCTTTCCTGTGAACAAGATTTCCATGTTAAAAGAATAGCAACAAGGTCATGTAGCTATGGATAGGGATGGGGTAAGGGAGATAAAAACAGATATACGGAAGAGCTATGAAAAGTTAGATTTTGCAGACATGATAGACACATTAGATTTTACTCTAAGTGTGATTAGAAACCATTGGAGAATCATGACAAAGAAATGAACATGCTCTGTTAACTCACAGTTTGAATTCAAATCCTCTGCAAAAAGTCACTGAACCCCTCTAGTTTGTCTCTTTACTTGCTCTTGGAAGGGTTAAAAGAGACATTGAGGGTAAAAGCAACAGAGAGTTGGGAACAAAGTACATAGTCACTATCTTTAGATGTTGGAAATTCTTTCACATCACCTAAAATTCTGAAACAAGAATAGACAGGAGCCCAGGTTCAACCATGCTTTCCTTCCCATAGGCTAATCCCAGCTCCAACATAACCTCCATCACAGCCACTCCTTTCTATGAAAGCATTTTCTTCCCTAAAAGATTTCTATAGTAATGAGTATTATTTAACAGGAACTAGTGACATTGGCATCTACAAACAGCAGTCATTAGATTGGTTAGCAGTTGGTGAAACTTTTAGCAAACAGAGAAGGAAATTTGCATTGTGTTTGATAAGATGGTAAAGGTAAGTTTATCTTGAATGGGACACTTAGGGCCCCTTTGTGACCTAGGATTGAGGATTAGAAAGAGGAGGTTAGATAGCAAGAAACCAGGATGACTGCTGAGTATGTTGTCTTCCAACAGCTCCACACTCTTATTGGAATGCATTTACTTACTCCACACTTGAGTGTATATGATGTGTGGTCACATGCAGAATAGCAGACATAGTGGAGGCCAAGATTTCAGAGCCAGGCTCTTCTCAGGTTCAAAGTTTGTCATCCGAGGCTTTCCTGGACTAAGTGTTTCATTTTGGAAAGAGCATTTTCCACTTGATCTACACTGCTTGTTTAGTCCTTCTTAGTTTCATCTTTTATTATAATATTTGTATTGGGCCATTGCCTTTCAATGACTCAGTAAGTGAATATTCAGGGCTGTGGATTTCTTTCCTATCTAAAACAATTATGACAATCTAAGATTAAAAGTGGGTCTCCATACCAAAAAATATATACTTTTTAACAATGATTCATTTATTTTTATTTTTTGCATAAAAGAACTGGGATGTAGGCCAGAGGTGTGGGGTGGTGAAGGATTCGCCAAAGACAGAGTGGAGTGGTGGGTGAGACAGGAGAGTTCTGCTGCACCATCTGTGGGTTAACTCCCTGGCCGGGGATCGAACTCAGACCATAGCAGTGATAGCGCTGAGACATAACTCCTAGGCCACCAGGAAGGCCCTCTTGACAATGATTTAAAGAATGCCTACCTGCCTTGGACATTATTTAACTTGAATACTATACAGAATTTTAAGGATAGGGGAAAATTTCTGAACATAATTATACTGAAATGCTAATAAAGTTTGTAGCAAATCCTCATTATAAAAAATGTTCTCTCAGTCTGCTCCATATAGAAATTTATCTTACATTTTGCATCATGACACAATTCAGCACTTTGATAGCAGATGTATTGAAGTTTCCATGTAGATGTAGACTCAGCATTGAGTCCCCATGTCAACAAAGCTGAAAACAAAGGAATATCAGTCAGTCCAAATTAAATCTTGACCCTTCTCATCTAACTGGACACTCTCCTGGTCTCAGGAGAGAAACACAATTCCTCCCTTAGTCTTAAATTTTAACATAGATCTGCTATAAACAGATCTATGTTAGTCCAGTAGGGGTGAACGCTATACATAATAAAAGATTGATATCCTGCACCTCTCAAATGAGAGCCCTAATTGATAATAACTGAGAAGATATTTTCTTTTGAATCATACGGACTTCTTGCCAAAATCTTTTCTCTTTGTGATCTTATCATAAGTAATTCAATATTATCTAACTCTTGCTCTAAATTCTGTTTCAGTTACTCCAATTAAGTTATTCTGGATGCAATTTCTTGTTCTTAGACCAATGTTCCAGATGATTTTAATATTTTTATGCAATATGTGGGAAATGCATCAAAAATATCTGAGAAAATAGTTTCTAACAGGTAAAATCTCCCTCAAATTTTCTGGCCTCTTACTCTTGACTGAAGTATATTTCCACTCCTTTGTTACTTCTTTTTTTTTTTTTTTTTTTTTTTTTTTTTTTTTTATAGAGGCATGCTTTATTTATTTATTTATTTGTTTGTTTGTTTGTTTTGTTTATACATGCACTGGGTACAGTCAGAAGCGCGGGAGGGTGAGAGAATTCACCAGAGCCAGAGCGGGGAGCAGAGCAGGCAGGGACCGAAGCACACTGCTGAGGGGAGCAGCGGGCGGCAGGAGAGGTCTGCGCGCCATGTGGGACCCTCCTCCAGTGGCCGGGGAGCAGCCGGGGATCGAACCGGTGCCACAGAGGCTGCGGGCAGCTTCGCAACCCAGCGCCCAACCGCTGCGCCACCGGGGAGGCCCCTTTGTTACTTCTTATTCTGTCTTTATTTCTATATTCTTTCTGGAAGATAACCATTCTTACTATACTCTTGATCCTAAATTTTCCCCACAGCTCAGTGAAATTGTTCCATTAATTATTCACTCTTCCTCTACTTTAATTTTTCAGTCTTCATTATATCTTTCCACATTAACTGATGAAGGATTTTCATATTAAAATTGTTTTTTTCCAATCCACCCTCACCAAAGTTACCCTCTCCATATTTCCCCATCATCTTCATACTTCTTGGAGAAGCTGGTTTACCATGCAATTCTCACTCCCCTGCTCACCTCTTATACCTTTTCCCTCTGTCACCTTATGTAAACTATTCTTTGAAAATCACCTTCTAGTTTCTATGACCATCACTTCTCTTCACTCATGATTAAACATCTCTGAATTTTATTTTTTTTAATTTGTTTTATATATTTTACATCATTTTTCATTTTTGTAAAATGTGTGCATTTTCATATTGTTATAGTCCCCACAAAATTCCCACCAACAAGGGTGGCGGGAGACTATAACAAAGATGAAAATTACTCAGCAATCACAAAAGATAAACTCATGCCATCATGCCATTTGCAGCAACATGGATGGAGCTAGAAGGGATCATGGTCAGTGAAATAAGCCAGAAAGAAAAAGAAAAATACCAAATGGTCTCACTCATAGCAGAAATTTATAAGATCCAAATAAGGAATCGGGAAAAAGACTAATTATGATAAAGTAAAAATCAAAATCAATAGGCAACTATAATCCTCCAAATTTTAACATGTTGGCCACTCACTTCTTCTCAAAAGTCATATTAATTTTGGTTCCCTTACCACATTCTCTTAAAAATTCAATCATTGATGCATATTCCTTACCAGGTAATATGCTAGGTCTAGGGAATGAAAAATAACTGAAATACCATTTCAAACAGGATGGAATTCACAGTCTAGTAGTAAACAAATCTGCATACAAACAGAATATGCACACCCGTCCTACACAACCTTTTCTGGTAAGAGGGAGACTAGATTTCCAGAAATATTGGCCTAACAAAAAAAAAGTCAAATTGATCCAAAACTATTTCATGTAAATATGTCTTCACATGGCCTGCTTAAGTGGCAGAGAAGCAATGGAAATCTTCAAGGTCAGAAAAAAAGGTGGAAGTGTGAATCAAGAGAGGTAAATAATCTCTGGGATTAGTGCTTTCCTACATTTTCGACAACAGTTCTAAAATGTAGTGGCAGAGAGGATCATGTCTAGGAAAAGCAAAATGATACCCAAAGTGCATGGATGGAGCTGGAACAGCTACTCTGCTGTTTTTATTAATTGTGAGCATCGCTAAGTTTCTAGACTTGAGTAATCATTAAAATAGAACTAGGTTGTCTAACCAAATAACCAGTAGAAATAAGCCAGAAAGAAAGAGAAAAATACCAAATGGTCTCACTCATAGCAGGAATTTAGAAGACCCAAATAAGGAATCAGGAAAGCCCTTCCAGGCTTTCTTCCACAACTCACCCTCTGACTCTACATAAAAGTTCTGGAACAGGGCCTCCCTAGTGGCACAGCGGTTGAGCACAGGGTTGTGAAGCTGCCTGCAGCCTCTGCAGTGCTGGTTCGATCCTCAGCCTCCGAGCCAGAGTCCCACATGGTGCACAGACCTCTCCTGCCTCGCCCACTGCTCCCCTCAGTAATGTATTTCGTTGGTCTGCCTGTTCTGTTCTCCACTCTGGCTCTGATGAATTCTCTCACCCTCCTGCGATTCTGACTGTACCCAGTGCCTGTATAAATATAAATAAATAAATAAAATCTTTGAAAAAACTTTCGCTCTCTCTGTTCTTCCTCTTCTCATTTCTTTTGTAAAAATCCTTTTATTAACTGCTCTTGAGTCTTGTCTTGGGTTCTTAAGCACATGGGTGAGGACTCACATTCATGTCGTCCTGTTTCCCCTTGGGGTTGCCCTATAACAATTTGGGTAAATATAGGCAGACATTATGTAAAACAATAGTGAGAACTACTTTGGTAAAGAAAATAAGAGTGACTCAAATATTTATAATAGAACATATAAATCAGAAGCTTCTCTGCTGTTTTTATTAATTGTGAGCATCGCTAAGTTTCTAGACTTGAATAACCATTAAAATAGAAATAGATTGTCTAACCAAATAACCAGTAGAAAAGACTTTCACACCTATTCAAGATGGACTAGTAACAATTATTTCCTATCTGAAAAAAAAAAAAAAAAAACAGTGAAAACACGGAAAACTAGATGATGTACATGAAAAAAGTTTCCAAACCATAAAAATTACCATCAGGCAACAAAGTTCAGTGATCTCTGAGAGAGAAGGAGGGAAGGCAGGAGGAAGAGAGAGAGAGAGAAACACACACAGCACAGGGGACACTTACAAAAGCCCCAGCTCAGTGTCATGTGACAATTTTCAGATTGTGGCACAGGGACAGGGGACACAAGTCAGACTCATTCTTTTTGAAGACATAGCTGAGAATCCTGGGGGTCTCAGGACCCCCAGAATTCTCAGGGTCGAGGAAGAGAGATAAGAGAGCTACATACAGAACTTCAGAAGTCTGGTGCAGACGTTCCTTGAATGCTGATCAGTGCAAGCATGTGAGGAAATAGGGAGAGAGGCATCTAAACAAAATGGAGGAAGTAGTGTCCATCCCTACAAGCCACACTGGAAAATTTCATGTTTCATAAAGCATCCTGGGTCCTCATACCGGTCTTGTGTTAGTTGTTGGGGTAATTTTGCCCTAGACTGAGCGAGCATGCTTTGTCTTAGCCAGGGCATTCAAATAAATTAATAGCATCCAGACAAAACTCAAGAATATGTATAGATACAATTTTTTTTATTTTTAAATTTTACTTATATTTTTTAGTTGAGGAATAATTTCATATAGCATTACCTTCAAGGTCACAACATAATGATTCAATATTTGTACATAATATTGCAAGACGATGATTATGATTTGTTCCCACATTGGTATACATTTTTTTCTTGTAAAAAGGATGTTTAAGATCTGCTCACTTAGCAACTTTCCACTATGCAACACAATGTTATTAACTACAGTAACTGTACTGTGCTTTCAATCCCATGACTTAATTATTTTATAACAGGAAGTTTGTACCTTCTGACCTTAGCTCACCTTACCAAATCCTTACTCTCTCCCTCAGGCAACCATTAAGCTGTACTCTATATCTATAAGCTTAGTTTTTGTTTCTTACTGTTGTTTTAGGTTTTACATGAAAGTGAGATTATAAGGGATTTGTGTTTCTTTATCTGACTTATTTCACACAGCATAATGCCCTCAAGGTTGACCTCATCCATGTTTTTGCAAGTTCCCATCTTACCTTAACCTTTAATTCAAAAGGATGAAAATGACTTAAGATAAATTAATAGCATTTCAGGCAAAACTCAAGAATATGTGTACACATTAAAAAATTGGCGGCCAGTAAGATAAAAATACACAATATAATAAAAATGACAGACATGCAAAGAAATGGAAAAATATGACCCTAGATTGTTAGAAAAATTTCTCAGTTGAAATCAACACAGAATTGACAAAGATGTTGGAATTAGCAGACAATATTAAAGGAGTTATTGTAACTGTAACCCATATGTTCAAAAATCTATGGAGAATCATGAAAGATTTTTTTGAAAGATCCCAATTGCACTTCCAGAGATGAAAACTATAGTGTCTGAGATAAAAATGCACAGAATAAGACTTATAACATGTCATAGATGCAAAAGAAAAAATTATCAGTCAAAACTGTCCCAAATTAAATACACAGAGAAAAATAGTTTCAAAATGGCAATCAGTGAATTGCAGGACAATTTCAAGAAGCTAAGTATATATTATTGGAAACTTCAAAGAAGATAATGGTGAAGTGAAAAAGATGAAGAAACACTGGTAAAAAATTCAATTTTGTAAAATCTATAAACACATAAGTCTAACCTCAGTAAAACACAAGCAGAAGAAACATAAAAAAATACAATAATACACAGCATAATTGAATTGTTCAAAGCCAGTAATAAAGGCATCTTTCTCTTTATGAGAAAGGGAAAATGTAAAAACCCAAAGTTAATATCATATTTAATGGCTAAAGACAAAATGCTTTCTCCCTA